CATGTTGAAGTAACTGTATTTTCCACCTTTAATACTGAACCCAATCCTAAGTAATCCATAGAGGCTGAGAAAATAAGAAACAATGTAAGAAAGAAAAAGGGTGTTTTTTTTTAACGAGTCATACTCTTCCTTACATCACATAAAGCAGTTTAGCATATACTTTGGATCCAGACAATTGTGTCCAGATCCTGACTCTGCTACTTACCAACAAGTTAGTTAAGCCTCTCTATACCTAAGTTTACACATCTGTGAAAATGGAGTGGTGGTAATGGTACTTACTACCCTCAAAGGGTTGTTTTAAAGGTTAATTAACATATGTAAAATACTTAAACAGTGTTTGGCACAATATCAAGATGCTAGAGGCCCAGTGCACAAAATTCATGTCCCGTGTGTGTGTGTGTGTGTGTGTGTGTGTGTGTGTGTGTCCCTCAGCCCAACTTGCCGACTCTTCAATCTGGGATCCCTCTCACAATCCAGGACTGCTGGCTCCCAACCACTCGCCTGCCTGACTGCCTGATTGCCCGTAACCTCTTCTGCCTGCCAGCCTGATCACCCCCTACCAGCCTGATCGACGCTTAACTGTTCCCCTGCTTGTCCGATTGCCCTAATTGCCCTCCTCTGCAGGCCTGGGTCCCCCCGCAAACTTCCCTCCCCTGCAGAAAATATCACTAGACTGAGAGGCAGAAAACAAAGGCAGATTCTAATCCTGGCTGTGGCATGGGATGCTATCTATGCATTTAAAGTAACTGTCAAATCAGGCCTGTCCCTCCCAACTGTCCTCCCCTGCAAGCCTGGTCACCACTAACTGCCCTCCCCTGCTAGCCATCTTGTGTGTTGGGATGACGGTCAATTTGCATATTACCTCTTTATTAGGTAGGAGATAAACACACACACACACACACACACACACACACACACAGAGGCCTGATGCATGAAAATCGTACAGGGGTGGGTCCCCTCAGCTCAGCCTGCACCCTCTCCAATCCTAGACCCCTTGGGGGATGTCTGACTGTCCGACTGCTAGGGATTGGGCCTAAACTGGCAGTTGGACATCCCTCTCACAATCTGGGACCGCTGGCTCCTAATTGCTCACCTGCCTGCCAGCCTAATAACCCCTAACTGCCCCCTCTCCCACCAGCCTGGTCACCCCAACTGTCCCCCCTACTGGCCTGGTCACCCCCAACTGACCCCCCTGCCACCCTGGTTGCCCATGCAGCCTACTATTGAGTTGTTTGGTCATCACTCACTAACCCCCATGCCAACCTTGTCACCCCAGGCAACCTGCTGGTCATTACTGTTACTGTGATGGTGTCCCAGACAATTTGCATATTCCTCTATTATATATATATATATATATATATATATATATATATATACACACACACACACACACACACACACACACATACACATACACACACACACACACATACACACACACACACACACACACACACACACACATATATATATATATATATATATATATATATATATATATAGCCTAATATGCTAAGTGTCTGGTTGGCCATTCAACCAATCAAAGCGTAATATGCTAATGATATGCTAAGGCCGCTCAACAGCTCAGTCAATTTGCATATTCTCTCTTTAATAGATAGGATATTTAAATGTTAAATGGATTTGAGAAAATTGCTCAACACAGAGAGCTTTTCTCAAATATATACAGGGTCCAATAAAGGAATATGGGTGCAACTAAATATATCTGTTTAATAAAAGGTACTTTATTCCACTGGGAAATTTAAACAAAATATTTCCAAGAAAGATCAATGACATTGTTCATTAAGAAAACAATTTGTATTTTGTTTTACCACCTTATATATTAAATGAATCATTATTTTAAATAGAAAACAACTATTATATTGATAATTTATAAATATGATCATTAAATCAAAGGATATAAAACTTTGAAGCATTTTTTCTTTAAATCTTTATCATTGTATATTTTTTCCATTGAGAGAATGGAAGCAACAGAGTATGTGTATAGAGGGAGGGAGGGAAGATAAAGAAACATCAACGTGAAATCAAGGTTAGAGAGACACACCTATTAGTTGCCTCCCCCACTTACCTCTATTGGGGAGCCTGCAACTGAGGTACATGCCATTGATCAGGAATTGAACCCATGACCTTGCAGTCTGCAGGTCGATGCTGTAACCACTGAGCAATGGGCCAGGGAAACTTTGAAGCATTTTAAGCAGTATCTGACATTTACCAAGACTTAATTCTATCATGTACATAATCAATCTATCACATTTATAAATAGAATTCTATAGTCCTTATACAGTAAATGTGTAAATAAATTTTAAAATTTTGAAATGATTGTTCACCCATAATTCTGATGTTTTCTCCCACTCACTTTAGTACTCTTGACTTCATCCCCTATTAATGCTGAGATTATTAAAATCCATGTATAACATGTATTCTCCTTCCTGAACGCAAATACACGTGAAAACCAAAACACATGTGGACACAGTGTTTCGGTCAACCTTTTCAAAACAATGTATTTTTTTTTTTTTTCAGAGAAGGAGAGAGAGATAGAAGCATCAATAATGAAGGAGAATCATTGATCGGCTACCCCCTGAATGCTCCTTACTGGGGATGGAGCCACAACCCAGACATGTGCCCTTGACCGGAATTGAACCTGGGACTCTTCAGTCCACAAGCCAGAGCTCTATCCACTGAGCCAAACCAACTAGAGCTCAATCAACTTTTTATTGTTGCTCAATATATATCACATTTACTGCATACAGACTATCTGTTTTACCTTGTTCTATAATCCCAACCATACCTGAAAATGGTTGGTTTGTTTTTTTTGTTTGCTTGATTTTTGCCTGTTTGTCTCCAGTGAAAGCTAGCTGTCCTTTAAAGACACATATGCCCTGCAGCCATCTCAAACTAAGGTGTGGGCCACATTCCTCCTTGCTTGCTCTTTCTAGCTTTATACCATTATCCCCAATTCTTTAGTAAGGATCTCGATCATTTGAGGCTCATGCCACTGTCATACCCCGCTCTTTGCCTCTTCATCGCTCTGTATGCACTAATCTCTCTGCCATTCTCCCTTATTCATCAAAGGCTTTAGAATTTAATTCACAGTCTTTCTTTCAATTCCAAATCCTTCCATTGTTTTGGGTGACTTCAAACATCCACATGTGTGATCCATGGAGTACTCCAGACTTCTTAATTCCAGTGAATAACTCCTCTTCACTTCAAACCATCTACTTCTACAGTTGCTGTTGTAATCCTGTCATCCTAACTGCTCTTGAACTGTTTATTCAAACAGTTCACCCACCTTTCAACCACATTCTCCTTTACTTCTAATTCTGAGGATGACATACTCCCACCAGGAAGGTTCTCTGGCCTCTTTAGAGACTTCCAATTCATTAGCTTCATATTTCTTCCCTTCTATCAATGCCTTCTTTCTTCCCTATCCTCCTTATCCAGCTTCAATTAAATAACCCTAGAAAACACTCTATTCCTAAGCTCATTTCCCATTGAGTCCTTGCATCACTTCCACTGGCAAAACTGCAACCCTGTATGAAACTACTTTCTCCGTATCTAAAATGAAGTAAGTGTGTGCTATGAGGGAAAACTATACAACAAAATACGATCACCACGTTCATATGGATCCTGAACACAGCCTGGCAATCACGATCCATTATACTATGATCTATACAAAACAAATATTTCAAATGCTTCAAATTGTTCAGGCCTTTAATTCTCTCCTTGGTTACCTCAAAGAGCCTACTTTTATTGAAAATCAAAGATACTATCAGACATGATTTTCCAATGGGAAGTTAAGAAGACTCATTACTGCCCTGGCTGGTGTTGTCCACTGGTTAGGGTACCATCCTCTGCTCTGAAGTGTCGAATGTTCGATTCCTGGTCAGAGCACATATGTAGGTTGTGGGTTTGAGCCCCTGTCAGGGCATATGCGTGAGTCAACCTATTGATTTTTCTCTCTCACATGGATATTTCTCTTTTTCTAGAATCAATGAAAAATATATCCTTGGTGAAGATTTAAAAAACAAGACCCATGAGTGATATCTTCTGCTTTGTACCATTTACTCTTTCTTCCCACCAATTAAATAGCAGTTAAAGCTATGAATGTGAGGCAAGTTGTTTACAAGGAGAATAAAGAGGAGAGCCTAGAATTAGTCTTGGAAGAATTCTAAAATTTGATGGCTGAGTAAAAGAGAATGAAGCTTCAAGTCAAACTACAAATTGTGCACTAAAAATAAGTCAGTTACATTGTGTGTGTGTACTTTTTTGTGCCTATTTGTCTCCAGTGAAAGCTACCTGTCCTTTAAAGACACATATGCCCTGCAGCCATCTCAAACTAAAGGGTTGGGGGGGTATTCACACATTTCAGCTACATTTTATGTGTGTGCATATATACTCACGTATATGTACATACACACATATATATTTATACAAGAAAATGGTTTGGAAGGCAAATATAACTCCAACGATATTAAACATTAGTCCTTTGATAGATAAAATTTAGCAATGTTATTATTACTGAGGTCCAAAGAACTCTTTTCCCCTGTGTAAATAAAATAATCTGCATGACAGAATTTTACTAGCCAAGAATAGGGGAGAAACATGAAATTATTACCCTTTGTAGACATAAAACTTTCTAGTTGGAACAAAGATAAGTCTTGCTCATCAAGAGCATATGTAGACTTAAGATCCTTAACTATAAACAGTAGGCTTCAGGCCTGGGTGGTCTGTGTTATGTCCAATAATATATAAATTGGCTTATCCTCAAAAAAATATTTCTTTTTTCATTACTTGAGTCATGGAAGAGATTCAATCTTTGTTCAGAAACAGAAATGTTTTCAATACAACCTTTTAACTGTAAGTCTATATATTCTATAACTCTGTATAATTCAGGATACTACTCCTCATTAAATGCATATAAAAAGATCTTAAATGATTTTCTCAGTATTTCCAGGAGTGCTCTTAAATAAACTGGAAACATGTTTAATGAGAAGTCCTCTCTGTGCATACAATGTGATCACTTATATTTTTGCATAGTGTTCAATAATAAGCTATGCTCAAGGGATGAAATAAACTACCAAATGCCCTATGCTCCTGTTCGTACGCCAGAGATAATTTATTACTGACTCTTTGGCACACTACACAAGCCACCTGAAGAAAGTTTAATGTTTCTTTCATTTTCTTTAAGTATTATATGAAAATGAGAGCTAATAAGGCTGAATTCATCTTTAACAGAATATTTTAATCATTTATAAATGATGCACGACAATTATTTTCAAGAAGTCTTCAGCTCCTTATCAAAAGTTGCTCTAAGTATACAAAAAAGTACTACTCAAATGAAAGGTAACATATTTTCTTTTTCTGGAAGACAAGGAGGAGAAAACATTAAGGAGTAATACTCTTCATTTATGTACAATATGGCAAAATGGCTCCAAAACACTATCCAAAGAATTGTTTTTCTCTTTCAGGATGAAAAGAGTCCAGTGTTCTTCATGCATGATAGAAACTTGGTCTGACTCAGGATTTGTTTCCATACCTGCTTAATGAGTTGGCCAGAAAATATTCTAAAGTCATAACAAAGACATATCATCAGAGTGTAAAGATTCCAAAACCATCATGACCAGATGTGCAGAACCAAAAATCTTGGCTTCTGTCTGGTCTATAAACTGAGTATTAAATATTATTTGTACTAGCTCTAAATTTTCTCATTCTAAAAGAGCTGATCTAAGTGTGAAACACTTTCTCTATGGAAAGTTAATGAACATCATGAGGAAATGTTTTAGCTGCAACTGGCTGTTTTCCAGATACTGCATATGGACTCAATGTTAGCTCAACTCCTATATAATTTGATTCTCAGAGCTTCAGTGGCTGAATACCAACAATGCTTTCACTCCCTAAACAATTAATATGATACCTTTCATTTTATTATCTAAACTAGAGACCCAGTGCATAAAATTTGTGCATGGGGGGTGGGGAAGGAAGTCCCTCAGCCCAGCCTGCACCATCTCCAATCTGAGACCCCTGTGAGATCGGGCCTAAACCGGTAGTTGGACATACCTCTTGCAACCTGGGACCACTGGCTCCTAACCACTCACCTGCCTGCCTACTTGATTGCCCCTAACCACTCTGCCTGCCTGCCTGATCACCCCTAACCCCTTTGCCTGACTGCCTGATCACCTGTAACCGCTCTCCCCTGCTGGCCTGATCACCCCTGACTGTTCTGCCCTACTGGCCTGATTGCCCCTAACTGCCTCTGCCTCGGCCCCTGCCACCATGGCTTTGTCCAGAAAGATGTCCGGTCTACCCAGTCTAAGTAGCATATTACCCTTTTATAAGTATCGACTAGAGGCCTGGTACACAAAATTTGTGCACTTGGGTGGGGATTCCTCAGCCTGGCCTGTGCACTCTTGCAGTCCAGGAGCACTTGAGGGATGTCCAACTGACAGCTTAGGCCAACTCTCCACGGTGAACAGGCCTAAGCCGTCAGTCAGACATCTTTAGCAGTGCAAAGGAGGCGGGAGAGGCTCCAGCTACCACCGCCATGCCTGCCAGCCATGAGCCTGGCTCAGGGCTTCTGGCTGAGCGGCGCTCCCCCTATGTGAGCACACTGACCACCAGGATGTAGTTCCTGGGTTGAGCGTCTGCACCCTGATGGTCAGTGTGCATGATAGCAACTGGTCATTCTGCCATTCAATCAATTTGCATATTAGCCTTTTATTATATAGAATAGAAACTTTTACCTCAAATTCTTAAGCATTAATGTAGTTTTTCTAATACTGAGTGTCACAAACACAATAGCCATCTTATAACTGTAAAAATACTTACTATATCTGAATAAAATTGGTAGATAACAGCTATGTATCATTACTATTGAGGAGAATAAAATTTAGTTTGAATTTGAATCCAAAAATTATGCTACTAGCCAAAACCAGTTTGGCTCAGTGGATAGAGCGTCAGCCTGTGGACTGAAAGGTCCCAGGTTCATTCTGGTCAAGGGCATGTACATTGGTTGCGGGCACATCCCCGGTAGGGGGTGTGCAGGAGGCAGCTGGTGGATTATTCTCTCTCATTGATGTTTCTAGCTATCTATCCCTCTCCCTTCCTCTCTGTGAAAAATCAATTATATATATATATATATATATATATATATATATATATATATATATTTTTTTTTTTTTAATTATGCTATTAATTCTAAATAAATAGAAATCTAATATGTTAAGGGAGAAATTGTACATTTAAAAAAATGTAATTTTTTAAAAAGAGAACAATGAAAAATAAAGAATGCATGCAACTTTTAAATTATTCTAGTTACCATACAAAAAACAAAGGCTTTTTTTTTCTTCCCTATCTTACAACATTATTAACAGAAGCATGAGCATGCAATACAGAAACCTTTCATGTACACGCAGTAGACTTTAAAGTTATTATCTAGACATTAGTAATTGTTTTAGAAAACAAACATCTCATCGTTGTTTTATAAAACAAATATCTCATCAGCCCTTGGATCTGTGATTCTGGAAGAGCATATGTTTGCTATTATAAATATCTTAAAGGTTGGCAGTCTTTAATACTTATGTCACTCATACTCTTTACTCTGTTTATTATTATACAAAATCCTAGTATACAAAAAATACCATGGAAACAATAACATGATAATTAAAATTTTATGTTTTTTTCAAGTGGATCAAAATTTTAAATAATTCAGTGTCATTTTATATGTTACTTAAGGGTAGCATTAATTACCCAAGAAGTCAATGTTCTGATTATTAGACTGTCTCATTCACAGTATGAAATCCAATTTTTACATGGCATAAGATTCATGAAAAAGAATTTAAGGCTACTCTACATAAAGCAAGACTAGTTCTAAAACTAAACTAGAGTTTGTTTTTAAACTTCTTTTACATTGATATTTACCACAAAAGATGTTTCAACTATGTATTACTAAACCTATAAATCTTCACTTCTACAGAATCAATAATCAGTAAACAAAGTGTCCTTACATAGATTAGGATAAACTTGCAATTGTGGCATTTTTTTAAACCTCTGTTGGAATTTCTGCTGAATATTGACTCTTCTTTCATGTGGCAACAATATTCAAGGAGCTCTGAATAAGGAACCAAGAATTCTCAAATGTAAGACAATGGACAAAGCAGAATCTGATATGAGAAATTTGCTTCATCAACAACTTTTAAAAAATGTTTTTATTGATTTTAGAGAAAGGGAGATGAGGAGGGATAGAGAAGTAGAAATATCAATGAGAGAAAAACATTGATTGGCTGTCTCCTGCATGGCCTCTGCTTGCTATGCTGTGGGTGGACTAACAGGGGGCAGTCGACCAGTCGCTATGCTGTGCACTGACCACCAGGGAGCAGAATCTCTGACCAGTAGGTTAGTTTGCTGGGGTCTGGCTGATAGGAACTGAGTGAAACAGGCTAGACATGCCCTGGAGCCCTCCTGTGGTCCCTTTCTGGCTGGCCAACCTCCTGCACCCTATTCGGCCCTGATTCTGTACTAGTGGGGTCCTCTGCTCCCTCTTGCAATCTGGAACCCCTTGGGGATGTCAGAGAGCCAGTTTCGACCTGATTACACTGTTGCATGAATTCGTGCACCGGGCCTCTACTTTAATATATTATGCCAATACATTATCTCAAATCTTTACATTATTCGTAGACATTATCCTGACCATTTTATGGGTAAAATAACAAAGCAAAAAGGAATAAAAATTAAGCAGCTAACAAATGATGCATATTTCACAACTATAGGCTAACTGTTTCTGTCAACTGAGCCATTTTCTGTCCCAACTTCCAAACATGCAAAGCAGATGCTCGATAGGCAACCACAGCATCAGTCTAAGTGGCAACAACTAGCTGTGTAATCTGAAATACTCATGGCCTTTAACTATAGTTCCTAATCCTATTACCTTTCTTAGGACCTGTGGTGCCAGTGGTATTAAACAGCAAGTCAGGCCTATGGTGCTGTACTCAAAAGGAAGCCCAAAGGCCCCAGCCTTTCACTACTCCTTAAGCACACTGGTTCCCAATTTAACTTCTAGTCTCCAACATGCCATGTAAACACCACATTCTCATAAAATATATTCCATATTTTCAAAGGCCAGGGTACTGAAGATTAATTTTGAGATAAAGAACTGTCATAAGCAGTTTGTATTTTCTAAAGGTCATATCTTCATTTACAGGTAACGACTGCTTTATTCACATTAATATTGTAAATTAGGTTTTTAGTACTGGTAGTTTTGTATCATTCAGAATATACTTTCACAGCAGTAAGGAATAACCCCACAATCTCAGTGGAATACAATAAAAGTTTATTTTTTGTTTACACTTAGAAGTTCACAGGAGGAAAGTTCTCTGTTCAGAGAAGGGGAAGGGGAAGGAGAAGGAAGAAGGGGAAGAAGAGGAGGAGGAAGAGCTGATTGAATGACTGCCTACATGTTCAATTCTACCCAAAGAGAGGCAGGGTTGGGAGAGATCATGATGCAGCAGTCTCTCTGGATTTCTTTTTAATAATTTATGTCCTTTCACCTTTTTGATTCCCTGACCTCCATTATCTAAGTAACCATTTCGTTTTTTAATTTTGGTATACAAACCGTAACATTTCATCTCTTACAGTGTAACATGCAGGTCCCTTCAAGTAGAGATATCCCTTTGAATGAGAAATTCACAAATGCTGTCTTTGTTTCTTGTATTAAAATTCATTTCAGTATTTAAAATAAAGTATAATCTGTGTTTTTTAAAAAAAGGAGTTTAATATTATCTTTTCCCCCATTTCCAAATCAAACTAAAATCTCAGGATGAATGATCTGAAAATCACCACTACAGACATAAATAGTTTCCAAGATGTTATTAAAAGTAGATTAAAAATCAGAAGTCACCTGGAGTAATACAAATTAATATGTCTGTAAGAAAAATCATCAAAGAAAAAGTCTTTACCTCGTGTTAGTAAAAAAGCAGTAACTTATGAATTGTGCTGTCTACATCTTGACAGTCAAGAGCATAGTTTGTAATCTACCAAAGGAACAAAAAGAACAAAAGATTATACATTCTGTATAGTCTATACAAAAAAAAAAAAAAAAGACTATGTAAAAGTCTACAACAAAAAAAGACTATACAAAACTGAAATTTTTTCATAGTTTTGGCCTGCTTGGGCAAGCTATAAAACACACACACACACACACACACACACAAAATCCGAAATTAACTTTAAAGATTCTTCAAAAGAAAGAACAAAAGTAAACTATGCAATTGGTATGCATGATAGCAAATTAAATTTAGAATGAATGATAATAATTGTTAGGTAATCTTTTCCAGAGAACTGAAGAAAAAAGGTATTACCAGATAGGTGGCAACCAAAGCCAATCTATTCTCACAAGAGTATCTTGCCTGTTTGGTGTTTAAAAATATAGTACTTGATGTAACACCATTTAAAGTCTACCATAAATAAAATAAAAACCCAATATAAACATTCCAAATCTTCAAACGAAAGTTCCAAATGCTCTTTCAATGAAATGCACTAAGCCCAGAGTCAGATTAAATCAAGCCTGAACAGAACTTCTGAACTGTCAATAGGATATTAGTTCTTTTGTGCATTTGCACAATTATAAAACACCACCAAAGAGATGCACATATTTAACACAAGCTCCACTGAACATAATTCAGAATGTCTCACTTAAAAGCCTGAGGTAATATACAACCTGTAATATTTCTTTCTTTCTTTTTTTTGGCAACTGAAATTCACTATCTTATTCTTCCAAAATCTTTCATGTTACAAGGCTGAAGCTTGGCATTTTTTTCTTTAGACTCTGAGACTATAATTTACTTGCAGAAAATATTTTATGTATGAGAAAATTCAGATAAACTATTATAATTTACATATATTTAAAATAACACTAGCTTGTATTTAAAAACCATTAGAGAAGTTGTGTGTGCATGTTTGTGTGTGTGTGCATTTGTGTGTGTGTGTGTACACAGCCTCAAAAGACGTGACAGATAAGAAAAAACATTTTAAAGCATGAATATTTGGAGAATTTCTTTGTCATCTATCTGGATTTACATTTTAGCCTTATGTTGGATAGGGATGCCTAATCTATTTCCTCATCTATAAAATAGAGCTACCAGTAATATTTCTTATAAAGCTCTTTGAAGAAAAATAATGTACATACAGTGTTTAACACAATGCCCAGCACATAGTAGGGCCCAATAAACATTAGCTGCTGCAGATGCCACTGCCTTATGCTTTCAAACAACAGATCAAATTTTCACAAAATATCCTCTTCTATATATATATATATATATATATATATATATATATGTATATGTATATATATATATATGTGTGTGTAAGTGTATATATATGTGTGTGTGTGTGTGTGTGTGTAAAATGGAAGAAAATGCAAATATGTCTGGGATGCCATCACATCAGGACTGTTCACAAGGTTGGTGTGGCTGCAGGGCGGCACTCCAGGTCTAAGCAGATTCCCTGCAGCATGCAGCTGACCTGGGGTTTACCAAACTTTACTGGAGCTGCTCCCCACACCCACATCCCAGGCCCCAGGACTGTGCTGCCTGCAGCAGGGTGCCCCGGCAGCATCCTGACAGGCCTGTAGTCTGGGAGAGCTGAGTGGAGCATGGGTTGCAGGGAGCCACGGAGAGGTGGGGCCGCTGGACCCAAGCTCCTGGGGATCTGAGGAGAGCGCCTGAGAGAGGAAGCTTCAGTGAAGCGGTTGGCCAAGAGCTGTGCTAGGGATACTTAGGTACATAGACAGTTCTTTGCCTGAGGGGCAGCTCCGGGGTGAGCGCCATGGCTTCTGCGAAGCAGTCAAGAGGCAGGCAGCTCAAGGGGCAGTGAGCTGTACCAAGGTGGGGTGCACTGGACAGGGGGTTGGCGGGCGAGGCAGGTTCTGCAGTGGCCCCAAGATGCAGAAACAAGAGGTGATGACTGCTGGTGTGGAAGGACATCCAGGCGAAGCTCCCAGTGCTAACCAGGCCTCACCATGGCCTGAGCACTTGAGAGGCCATGACTCCTGCTCCCACCTTGGCCCAAAAGCAAGCCCATGCTGGCCCCAGTTCCCATCCCGCCTCATGGTGGCATGTACCTGCACAATGAGTACAATGCCTACCACCTTCTCTTAGAAGAGGGGGACAGTTAAGAATGGGGGTAGGAGGCGGGGGAGAGGAAAGAATGTGGAGCATCCTTGATGAAGAGGTGCTTAGGTACAAGACTTGGAAGCCTCACAGAGAGGTTTGTTCTGGCAGGCAGAAGCGGTTAGGAGCCAGCGATCCCAGATTGTGAGAGGGATGTCCTATTTTTTTTCTTCATTTTTTTCATTAAGGTATTATATGTACATATATATATATATATTACCAATGCCTCCCCACCCCTCCCATACATGCTCTCACCACCCAGTGTTTTGCATCCATTGGTTATGCTTATATGCGTACAATTGTCCTTCGGTTGATCTCTTATCTCCCCCATCTCTTCCTAACCTTGTTGCTATGACAGTCTGTTTGATGCTTTACTGCCTCTGTGTTTATCTTTTTGTTCATCAGTTTATAAAGTTCTGTGTTATCCACAAAAAGAGAGATGTCCTAAGCTACCAGTAGGACATCCCCCAAAGGGTCTGATTGAGAGGGTTCATGAATTTCGTGCACTGGGCCACTATTATAATAATGGGAGTTAACATCTATTGACTAATGAGTATGTACTGAGGCAGGACAGTAAGAAGCTAGGAAAATTCATTGGTGAGTGAAATGGAAAAACTGAGATAGATAGTTAAACAGCCAAGCAACTTACAGTCAGGTAATAAACTTCAGGTCTTATCTTTCCTAACCTACAACACTTAGGAGCAAATGGTTTGCACACTCCAGACCTTGCCAGACAGACCCACCTCAGTCCTGGTTCCTTTGGTGACACTCTTTGAATTTGAAACTGACCAATGAATGACCCAGTTTTGCTCATTTTGATGAAATGGCATTATTAAAGGCCATACCTGGAAATCTGGTGAAAATTCTATTGAGATCCTCCCCTGAGCCCTCCCCTAAAATTGCTACCTTTAGAAAATAGATAAAAACTCATAAGACAAAGGACCCAGTGTGTACCCTCTCTTGAGCATGCCTGAGCCATTCCCCACCCCTTTCCTCAGGTTTGTATCTTTGCTTTCTATTTCCTAAGCTCTAAAGTTTCCAAGGAGACTTGCAACCAGGGAAGCAGTGGGCAGTGGCAGCTTGTCTCAGGCTAACCCCCTGAACCAGTCTCCAAGGGCCCTCCTTTTGCCTCTGTAACTGTTTCCTGAGTCCACACAGCCCATATGGCTCACTTATTCTGCCTCTGTGACTTTCTTTCTAAAAGGCCAAGGCAGCTCTGCCTAGGC